CAGCTCTGTTTCATTTTTATCGGATAAAATACATTTGGTTTCTTTTTGACAAACCATGTTTTTGTGAGGGAAGGAAAATGAACATGCACTGTTATTGGCCACAGCAACATAAGAAACCCTCCTGTTGCCAGAGGATACCACATGAAAGTGTCTGTGGGTTAGGGGAGGAGCCGATAAGGGGGTGGGGAAAAGGAAGATGATATCTTAAGCCTCTTATGCTGAGAGCTGCGATTTGTGAACAAACTGTGATGAAATCAAGCTCTGGACAAATCAGATGAGCCTGTCAACCTCCCAGGTGGGATTGCTCGTAGTTAACAGACTAAACTCGGAGCCCCAAAAGCAGTGCATTCAGTGTAGGCAAAGAGAACACGCTGCAAAAGCCTTTCCAAGAATCCTCTGACATGGCAAGGAGAAGCTCCTTCCAGTCGTACCAGGTGGGAGAATGATGGAATGACAGGGGGAAGGCTTGGTGTTCAGAATCTGTTGCTGATTTGAAGTTTTCTTTTAGTTGTTCAAATTAAGACAGCACCTTATGATGCATTTTGGAAGTTGCAGGATTGGGTGGTGATGCTGAAGTCATTTGAATTGCCTTCATGTAATTGGATTTATTCCTGTCTAGCTGTATTTGACAACTTGATCTCTTCATTCCCTTAGATAATATCCCTGTTCACTTTTGCCATTGGAGTCAATATCTGCTTAGGATTCACTGCACATCGAATTAAGAGGGCAGAAGAATGGGATGAAGGTCCTCCTACAGGTAAGTGTAGCAACTATATGCATTTTCAATATTTTACAAATATTATATACCAGATAATCACAAGCTCAATAAGAAATTTATCTCTAAGATAATTTTGCAGTATAACTAAGTTAGATCTAAATTTCCCTGGGATAAAACCACCTATATGTGTAATTCAGATGAGAGAGTGTGGTTTCAATGAAAGAGCATTTATGTTTCATGAGAACTGGCTATTTAAATCTTTGTACTGTGAAATTCATAAATGTTAAGATACAGTTAAACTCTTGTCTATAGATAAGGGTAAAGTAGAAGTGGTGAGGACAGGTGTTGGTTTAATATCGGAGATACACCAATATGATTTGCTGTCATATGATATAGGATATAGTGTTTGCCACCAGAAAGCTATGACCTAGGAAAAAGAGGAATGGAAGGAAAAAAGATAGTGAACTGTATTTATAAAACTTCAGAAAGTTAGGACTTTAAGACTTACCTAAACTTGGAAAAGCATAAAAGAGAGGAGGTACTTAATGAGTTTACTGGATTGATTTGTACTCACTGTGTTTTCTTTTGGCATAAGGAAAGGTAAGTTTTAATAGTGTACTTTGACTTAACTAATAGAACCAAAATGAAAGAGTTTCTTTTTACAATACACTGCACCATAAGCAGCGTGGGAATTCTTATAAAGGAGCTCCTTGTGCAGACAGAGGGGGCTTAACTGACCAGGTCATAAGCAGTGAGTTGGTTAATTTCCTGGAAATTGGAGCTGCTAATGGTTTTAGAAATAAAAATAACATTTTAAGTAATGGATACTCTAGGGAACAATATTTTCTTGACTTTCCCTGACATCACAGCATGTTTGTCTATCTTCCTGTGAATTGTGTGTTTGTATTTCTTGATCTGATTATTATAAAAGACCATCACCTGTCTCTGTTTAGCCATGACAGACTTTTAGCATTAGCAAAGTTATGATACATGCATGGATGGAATAATAAATCTTCCTCCCATCAAGTAAGTTACTTTAGAGTCATGCCAGAAAGTTGAAAGAATATTAGAAGTGGGTTAGTGAGTTGAAGTGGGTGTGGTTGGGGTGAAGAGTGAGAAAATAGATCACAAAAAGTGCAGCCCCAGGGAGCCAAATGGACAAAATGGTTGTCTTCTGTTGAGGAGGGAGAAGAAAGTGGATGGCTAGATTAGAGAATGCTGTTTTTATTAGTAGAACACACTCTTTTCAAAGGACTCTGTTTCACTCCCACTAACACTGTGACTGAACAGACAGGGAGATCAGATCCTTAGTATGGTCATGTGGGTAAGCTAGCAACTTGAGAGTCAATGGCTGGTTCTTTCCAATGTGCCCTAAAAGAAATTTTTTTGTTTCATATTGATGTATTACTTTATTAAGATGGATCAGTTAATATCATCTTAATATAAAAGATATTTAGAGAATGCTGTTTTTATTAGTAGAACACACT